ATGAAGATAAGATGAGTTCTGCCCATGCATGTATTTACTTTGATGAATATTAGAATCATAAAAAGGAGATGTTAGAAGAAGAAAGTGAATAAATGAAAGAAAAGAAGACGACAAATGATAATATGAAAAATAAGCAAATATAAGCAAAAGTAAGCAAAAGCAGTTATGATTCCTTCTTATCCATCCTTTGTACAACTGTCCATTTCAAAGCTATTGTAATATATTGTACTGTGTTATATTGTATCATATCATATCATATCATATCATATCATATCATATCATTTATCATTTTATGAAGAACTAAAAAGTAGCAAAAGTAAAGTAATCCCTTTTTTTAAAATTTGTTTCTTCGTAAAATAGTGCATATGAATTGAAAAATAGCTATCCACATAAATTTCTAGTAATAAAAATTTTTTGGTAAGCAAGCAAAACTTCTTGCCATGTTTGGACGATTAACGACTCATCTTCATATCCTTCTCTTAACTTGCGTATTAACGAGGAGATGCAAATCTTGGGTTCAACCAGTAATTGGCATTCAGCCTGGATTTCTCGACATCTACAGCACCAGTAACAATTACGGTTCGTTATATATCTATTTTTAGTTATTGTCCTTTGTTGGCTTGTAAAATTAATTCTACTTATTGTTAGTTATAAAATTAACACCACATTTTATTAAAATAATCATTTCTAACTTATTGCTGATTGATAAAACGACTATTTTTATATAAATTGAAAAATTTTTTCAAGCTACATTTTTTTTTTACTTGACATCTTTGGTAGATAAAATGAATAATAACTTTTGATGATTCCCATTCCAGTGCAGATGTCTGATTTCAACTACCTTCAAGTTAAACTAATATTTTTGCATTGAAAGTACGATTCAACTTAATATTTTCATAAGTTTGAACGTTTCATGTTATAAGCATGACTAAATGGTTATTGTGCTTTTTTAAGGCGAATTTATTTACTATTTTGATATTTAATTTTTTGGCTACAAATTTTTGCTCATATATTTATTTACATGTAATCCAGTACTTGAAAAATTGTTTAGTTAAACAAGTTCGAACTATATAATATTTCATATTGCCTTCATGAATCAGCTATGCACGCAAATAATTGCAAGTTTTTAATTCGATTATTTCCAAATTTTATTATGGCATGTATTTCTTGTTTATTTATTTGTAGTAAATGGCCGTGATATAATCACTGGACATCCATATACTCTGGATATTCATATGACTGGAACTGATCAATATGACTACTTATTAGAACTTTGTACATATAATGATAAATATCACTTTGTTGACCAAAATAGGTAAATACTAAAATTTTTAACGCACTATTTATCAAAAAAGTTTCTTATAATTTTTTTTGCACAACTATGATTCATCTCATCAATTTTTGATTGCGTATAGCAACTCATTTGATACTTTCCGCCTAAATCAGACTCTTTTAAATTTGAAATTAATTTAATTTGTAAAATCGTTTTGTTATAATGGAAAGATTATAATCTTAATTTTTTGAGAACAATTTTAGTGATTATTTTATTTTTTTTTAGTTGTTTAGTTTTCGATGATTTTTTTCAACAAATGTGGGAAAATGATCGGTATCGTTTGCAAGGTGCACAAAAACGTACATTTATCCATTTCATATCACCGGAGCCACTTGTTCGTCTTCAATGTAACGTACGTGTACTACAATGCTGTGGATGCGCTGAAGTAATCGTAATCATTATTCAGCATCTGTTTAATGCCGATTACTCATTAAAAATCTTTGATGTGGTTGCAAAAAAATTGAATATATTAGCAGAAAGTATGGACATAATAAATGACAATTTCGAAAACTGATTTTGATTATTTTGCTTTGTGTTACATATTTAATGCTTTATGTTGAATATTGTCACTTTAGTTACAAATAATTAATATGCAGACGGAACGAAGTAAATGGTAATTAGTTAAAGTTAATGAATTTTTACTTACCAAAAAAAGAGAAAATTGTAACTTTTCAATGAAGTTTCAAATTCTCTGGTATAAGATAATCTAGAAGTAAGAATATACAAGGAAATAAAATTTATTATCATTCTAGAGAGCTTGCGAAAGAAATATCGGATCAAGTACGCTCTTTTACCCCCAACAAGTAATTAACTTGGCCATTAGTAATGAGCCTAGCAGAGGAGCATTAGGTGGTTCAATGGATACTTGGCCTTGGTGGATTTGGCTACTGCTCATTTTAGCACTTGTCCTGCTGCTTTGTTTAATTCCTTTACTAATATTTTTGTGTTCTCGACTGTGCAAGCGGAAACAGAAAGTGGTAGGTTCGAAAGCGATGGCAGAACAGCAGGCATCAATTCCAACTCCTCAGATATTAGCTCGAAGTCAAGAGATGAATACGAACGCTGCCAAAAAACCAGCACCACAAACCACAAAAATATTTCGTCGGTTGTCTGATTCACCAACAGAGAGTTTACATTCAACAGCCAGTCAGTCAAGAGTTGCAACAGTGATTAGACAACAACCTCGAGTAGCTACTACTCATTGGGCTAAGTCTACATCTGACATGGAGATGGCTAGAAAACCAGTGCAGGAAAAACAAACCCCAGACATTCATCATCTTCATCAGGTTATTGACGAGAGTACGGAGGTCAGGAGTCATCATGAAGTCAGAGAAAGAGAAGGTGGCTACAGATCTCCAACTATAGCGGTAGCAGATACTGCTGCTGCTGCTTCTATACGTGAAAGGCAAGATGATTTTAATGAATCAAATACCGAACAGAAGGCGTCGCATTATTATGGTAGAGATGCGTTACGACTTATGCATCAGCAAACCACTTCTGAAGAAAAATTTTTCAAGAAAAATGATCGACAACGAGGACTTGTTGAAGAAGGTTATGACCGCGCTCAATATACTTATACTACGCCTGCAACACACTTTTCACATTCTGAACTGGTTTAACTATGGAATCTTCATACTTCATTATATGCCATGCAAATTTCAATCATTTGCAACTTATTTTTTGTTAATATAACTAAAGTATACAGTATGCAAATTAATGTAGTCAATAATGTAGAAAACTGGCTTTGCTAGAAATTCTTGTACTTCTTTAAGTAATTCTTATACTCCTTCTGTAAGGGAAATAAAACTGAGAGTACTAAATTAATGGCAATAATTTCGTTCTCTTATTTGTAGAAAATTACTTTTTAAATTTAAGCGTTTCCCATTATTTTAACTCTCTTTTTTCCACTAATCCAATTACGTCTGTTTAGACAATCATTTATAACATGTCGTACTTTGTTTCTGTCTTCAATACTCCCATATTGAACATTCATTGACGTTTTGTATTATACAGTTGGTTACAATCAGTATTTATTATTTGTTACAACTTTGTAATACTGCCGATACTTTTTTATTATCATAATCAATTTCTGCCTGAACTATGCTCAATTATATTTGCTAAAAATAGTATAAAATCAGTAATTGTAAATTATACCTACTTTTTTCACCGCATGTATTGAAGAGTTAAAGCACCATGTAATACTTGTTCTTCCGTTTGATGTATGTCAAACTTTTATCACTATGATATTATAATGAATAAAATTAATTGCAAAGCAAATTGGCAGAACTTTCAAAAATCAAAATCTCTACTCCGTTGATTGTTAAGTATGCAAATTTTCTGAATGAAATAATTCAATACTTGATATTGTATTATTTGTAATGCTTCAGATAGCTTAAAAATTATCATCTAATTTTAAGAACACTTATTGCATTACCAGTGTTAACTATGAATAATATCATTTAAGAATCAATCATCACATGTAATTAATGCAATTCTGTTCAGTGCACTAAAGGAGAGATATCAGTAAATTTCAATCAATTTTTACACTAAAAAATATTAATATTTTCAGTTGAAAGGCAAATGAGCAAATGTAAAACTGCACTACGAAGATGTAATAATCTATGCATGTTAAATTTTAGAACACAAGATTTTAAGTAATACTGTGCAGCTAATTTAGCCACTGCAATAATTCTTACAGCACATATGTGAAACTGTAAGGAGAAGCGAAGAAATCGGCTGCATTACTGACCAGTAATTGATAATTTATAATGAAGCTTGAAAAAAGGGTAACAACCTTCAATTCATTTTCTAGCGCCCTCCTTCTTGTTTGCCTCTTCTTATTATTAACACCATTGAGAAGTGATTAGAGTAATGGTGGCATTGTTGGTGCTGGTTGTACACTACTAATTTATAAAAATTTACAAGTGGTAAAAAATTTTTCTATAAATGCCACAAAATTTACTTAAAATAACCTATTCTTTGTTAATTAATAATTAGTTTGTTAGATAATTAACGTTTTAAATGTTCAGTAATTTCTAAGCACTCTTATTGTTTCATATTCAAACTTTAACAAATCTCATCATGATTTAAAACTTGAAATTGCATTGATTAGTAGCTACGTGTAATAACGCTCTATAACAAAAGGCTATCGAATTCTTAATTCGATGTTAATAATAATAAGAAGGGAGAGAGATTCAGTAAATGAGAGTGCTTAGAAATTTCCAACTTATGAATTGCTAATTGAATAGGTTGGAGATTTTTGAGATTTTTCTGCCCATTCATACCTTCAATACTTTGCTTAATTCTTAGCGTTTTTTTTCGCATCGTAAAGGTCAGTAAATATTTGATGAAAAATGTATTCTACCACTTTCAGGAATTCTTGCACCTATCAGTCTGTAATTACATTTTGCCGTATGTAACGTCATCAACAATCGACTACGTTTGTCGATGTTCATTTCTTTGATCATTTCTATTGCTTCCTTATCATTAGTGGCTGCAGCATTACTTACCGATTATTGGTCTGAAAGTAAGCCCATCAATAAGAACTTCAATTTAGCGAATAATTATGTCAATTCAGGTCTTTTCAAAGGTAGTCGACAATTAGATTGGGGATTAGAATCACGTTATAAGTCTTTATCAGGTAATTTCATCCCACCTTTCGTCTAATTTCATGTGAATTGAATATTAAGTAGTTGTCATTGCAATCTTAATTTAATCAGTAAATTAAATAATTATTTAAAAATTCCTTTTTTATTATTGTTAACTTGCTTTTATAGTATATGAAGAATTACTTGACCGTGTAGATTTCGTATCCAAAGTTCCATGGCTTTTTATGATATTTTTTATGGCCATTGGAATGTTATGGAATTTTGTGAGAGCAATTGTAGCATTATTCAATACCATAGCAGCAGAAGTTGAAAATGTTGTCGGTCCAAAGGGAATATATTTATGCAGTATTCTTTCTGGTACTTGATTATTTACTTAAAAAATTTCAATTATAGATTCATTAAAGTTTTTTATTATTTCTAACCTACTAGAAGAAATGTAATTTTCAGCACGTGAAAATTATAAAATCTCTTAATTGTATCGAAATTTATCCTTTACTAAGGAATGCACAAGCCTTAACTACGAATCTATTGGTATGTGGTTTTTGTATTTCAGCTATGTCTATGCTCCCATTTTAATTCACTAATTATTCTTCCATCTATTAGCTAGCATTACTTCAATATCATTTATGGAGCATTTTTCAATGACTGATTTTCATCTCATCCTTGTACATTTCAGGAACCATTCATAGAAATAGCATTGCAGATAATCTGAAGATAGTCAAAAAAGAAATGACCAGTTCTAATTGCCCATCAATCACTTTGTATCATTTGCATAATCTATCACTTTACTCACTTATCTATTCCATTACTTTATTGCTAAAAATTCTTCACTTGACGTTTGTTTTGCGGTGATATCGCATGCATCAGCATTAATAACCTTTCTTATACAATATGTGACGACAATTCAAAACAACGTTCTACTTAGTGAACACATAAGCGATGGATTCTCAACTGAAAATCGTGCAAGGTTTCCTTGCTTCTGTTTTTATACTTTCATACTCAGTAGTTCATCGGAGTGTTTCTTTTCTCCCAAACTTTTATTCTATTAGTATTTAATTTCCAACGATAGTACACAAATTCTTTTTAAAATTACCCTTCACTTCCTACTTGTTTGTTTCAGTTGCAAATGATGTAGGGCAATTAATTAATTCATATACTCTTCAGCATATTTCTACTTACACAAATTGCTTTGTTGATACACATTTTTGATGCTTTTAAGTCAAATCTTTTTCCAGACTCAGTTTCTCGTTCTACTTTGTGACTACAGCACTTGCATCATTGCTAATTCATGCTTACTGGTTTACATAAGCTCACCAAATAAACCAAGTATTAAAGAAGAAAAGACACTCAGTTGATAATACCGTATTCATGCATTGAGATGTTCAAAATGCAATTAAAATAACGACTGCCAAGTTACTACTTACATATTACAGCAGTATATCTGTTCATCAAAATATTGTGATGTTTTTTTATTGTTGTTGAAGTAAATAGAATTTGAATCTTTGCAAAGTTTCTAAAAGTCTTTTTAGTTGTGATTACTAATTATATAGACTATTTAGTTCAAACAAATTACACCAATCAGGTGATAATAAATTTTGTTTAATTTTTAATTAAAAAATCTTACAATGAGATGAATAAATAAAAATCAGAATACACAGAGACAGTTATAATTTAATGAATTTTATATGCTAATGGATGTGAATAATGTGATACTTGTTGGAAGAAAATGATATGATAACATTATGTTTATCAGTATCAGTTGTACATCTGTGTAACAACTAAAATGATTATTTTGTTTCAACGAATCAAGTTTTGCTTGATCAGCTTTGAGTGTTAAGATTATTTGAACGAAAATTTCGCGTAAAACCATCATTCTGTATTTGACGCTAAAATTTGATAATGATTCACTTTACATTTAAACAGTATGTTGATTTTTAGGGCTAAAAAGTTAAATTTTATCTACACAATTCAAGCTCTAGAGTAACAACATCGGATAAGCTATTTTATAGATTTACTATGTAAACAGACGATTTTACGTCACTAAATATTATCGAAAATTTGTATCATTTAATAAATGATGAATAATTGAGAAGTTACTAGTCGTCAACCACCAGGTGCTGAAATAGATTCACACTAGTGTTATTCTTCAATTTTCAAATTAAATAATTAGTCTGCTGTCTTCTGTAAGGACTCATACATTAATAATTGCGGACAGTAATAGTCTAGTATTTACAGTCTAATTAATTCCTGAACAATTTGGAATTTTTTACCCATGAATGATAAATTATTTTCCCATATGAATTGTTAAAACGGCCTCAAAATGGGGTATTTTACCAACATTCAATCATTTTTTCCTTGTTAGCAATTGTCAGCTGTTTATCGGCATTTACGTGACGTATTTTTCAACTAATATATAGTTTTGTACCATTAATTAAAGTTTCACGTTTTTTAGTAACTTATGATTTTTTATGTAATTTCATTGGGAAGCACTTCACGTTCTTTTCTGATGTTTACGAATTTTAGATTTTATAAGAAATTTCTTTGTTTACTTGAACACTCTTTTATTTTTTATTGCTGGTTAACAATGATTTGCATGCTTAATCATTAATTCAGCAGCCTTTTCCATGCTTCTACTTATGTTCGAATTCACATCATATAGCAATTTGAGCATTAATTTGTTTATTTATTATTTTCAAGAGTATGAGCTAGTCTTCAGTAGATTATATCAAGAAACGTTTAATTCAAATTCATCAATCAAAACAGTCAAATGCTAATAACTCTCAGAAAGTTTTTTTAAATAGTTTTCGTTCCGTACAGTATAATTTCATTTATAACTGTGTAATTGTTGTAAATGAAATTTGGATATAAAAACTTGCATTACAGATGTTTATGACTGTATATTATAGTGTGACTGTATACTATTTTCTTGCAGTCATATTATAGTATGTCTGTTATATTTATCGATGATTTGATAAACGTTAAAGAAGGAATTCAGATAATAAGTAATTAATATTTTTTCAGCTTAAGAATGTTGCTGCTAAAGACTGTCAAGCGTATTGTACGAAAGTGATTTCAAGCTTTTCAATTAGTATTATGCATGAAAAGAAAATAGGCTAGTTTTTGGCGTCATTGACAGTATCGTTCTGAAGTATTAGTCATCTAAATCTGTAGTTAAATTAATGCAGAAATGCAGCTGTTGAACTTCATTTCATACATTATCATATAAGAACTTGCTATTATTTATCAAATATGCATTTAAAATTTTCACGAAATTATTTGCAGCACGATGTAATTTTTCATGGAATGGTCCCTCCAACTTGACTTATCCATTTCTTTCGTTGCATATAGGTGAGAAAGTAAACGTCGCATGCAGTTCTCATGGTGAGGATGTTGAATTTGAATTTATATAAATGAAGGAAAGTTTTTCAGATAGCTGTTTTCGGAGCTTTTAGATTTTTAGTACATATAAAAGAAGTGGTCGAAATTTGCTGTTATAAAATTCTATTTCTTTTAATTCTGATGTTTATGGAAATATCATCATTCACTGGGAAATATTTGAAAAACGGTGAAATCATACAGTTTTAAAATCGTCTAGCTTTTTAAATCGAGAATCGGTTGAAAAAAGCTATTATTTCATTAAAAAAAATTTCATTGAAATACTTCAGACTGGTCTTATGGCAGTAGCTTAGAAAATGAAGAAGGATTTGGGATATTTCCGAATAGTGCGGTAACTTTGTGCAATGAATCAACTCCATCTATATCAAAAGAAGCCATTGAGATTGTCAAGGAACTCACTGATGTTCTTCAAGAATGGTGGCCTACAGTCAAAGTAAAGTTGATTTTCCTTGTATATCAATGTAATTGACTATGGGGAGTGAGCAGAAATAGAAGCTGAAACGTTGTTGTTGCTCTTGATTTTTAATTTGGTATACTTTCAGATTTCTAGTGCCGGCAATTTATTTTTTTATTGTTATGTTAAAAAGATAGCCAACGCAAGTATTGATACTTTCTATTAAAAATAAAGAAAATGGTGTCACAGTTTCATGGTTTTAATAACATTTAAATCATTCAAAGCATGTATTTTATAACCAACTCAGACTCTTAACAATTTTATGCAATTTCGATTTTAAAAATTTCAGAATACTTATTGCAACCAAACAAGAATGGAGTGCCAGGATGAGGTGCTGGTATATATGGAAGATCTGATGGTTATGCGTAAAAAGATACTTTCGGGTAATGTTCCTATTGAAGAACTGAAAGAAATGAGATTGGAACTAGCTAAGAAAATCGACTTAGGTAACCAGTAAGTTCTTGATCACTTTTTTTGTGTTAGTTTCTTTGCTTTTGGCTTTTTGATTTTTTCATGGATATTTTTTAATCGCTTCATTAATCACTCAAATATTTTACAATTCGAACTAATTGCAGTCGTTGCTTTTTACTTTTTTGTAGATGGTTGGGTCTTGACATGCTTATAAGAGATGATATGGGAAGAAAAATGGATAGTGATACGATATCAGCAGTACAGATGTACCGCGCTCATGTGAATGCTGCCAGCAGAATTTTGAATGACTCAGTATGTTGTGAGATTCATATATAATAAAATTGATCTTAAAGTAGTCATGAAGCGTGGAATTTCCACATTTAATGTGGTCTCGCTAACTTTCTCTTCATATCTGAAGTAAGATAAAATTCCTATTTTGATGTTTTAGAAACCAAGTGATACACCTGGAGTAACTGCTTTTTCCCTTTTGATCGATGCGCTTTCTGCAACAGTTGACGTGAAATCAGATTGCGAATTTACATTATCTTTATATGATACCTCCGAAAAGAAGATTATATCGTAAGTTATGCAAGAAAATTCTTGTAATTGGTGTAAATGTAGTTTCAGAAGAAACAAATTTAAAAACGAGAAATGCTCTGTAGTTTCATCTTTTTTTCAGGGAAAACTTTATATTTCACTGGAGTTCTGCTACAAATAATTTAACAAATTATGCAAACAGGGCTTTATTTCACGTAAGTTTTGTCTATCTTCAACATTGAACAGTATATGTTTATTTGGTAAAAACTTTGTCACTTCTTGTTTTCAAAATGAAGTCCAGACTTCTCGATAAGTCTAGATAATCCATTCTTCTAATTGTTTTCAACATTTATGTTGCAGGATCTCGGATCAAAAGAATATCCTTCGTCATTAGCAGATTCTCATCGCTTACTGCTTTGTATCAGAGTTGCTCGAATAGCTCCAATTGAACCCATGTCTTCAACTCTAAAGAAACATTTTGATCCAGGTCCTCCTCAGCTCTGGCCCCGACAACCATATGCTGCTGCAGTTCTGGATCTATCGAATGTTATTCGTAGTTCTCATGGTACTACAGAACATATTATACCTTTGAATCGGTAAAGATCTTCAATAAATGGAACTTCACTAGTGGTAGAGCATGTCTGATCTGAAATAAGTATCATGTACCAGTCGTAAAAAATTATTTCAAGTGCTCCTAAATCTTTCAGTGATGATAGCTTAGAGCAGCTTGTAATGAGAGCAAACACTGCGAGAACAAATAATTCTTTGAAAGTAGTTAATGGAGACTTATCTGGTAAGCAATACATTTCTATGTATGATATTTTAATCAAGAAATGAGCAGAATGGCCATAACTTTGAGCCAGATTCCTTTCAAGTTTGTTGATGGAATTTAAACTGTTTTTTTTGTTCGATAGATTCTACGAATTTTAGCTTTTGGACGAGCCCAGTTAATGATCTCAACAGAAGTTCTCCTTGGTTCGCTTTTACAAGTAAAGAAAACGCAACCTCAAGTGTTTTCAAGTAATCCACCTCTTGAATTAAGAAAGCTGTCTTTCGCAGATGTTATTTTAGCAGGTTCACAAGCTTTATATTTCATTTTTCGAATTAATGGCATTTCATTTAAATTTTTCTACCCTTGCTTTTTTAGGAAATTTAATTATAAAAGTGTTTTTGCTGTGATAAATTCAATTTGAAAGCATTTTGATCTTTTTTTACTTTTTTAAACACTGATCAAAGTATTATTTTTATTATTGCAGATGATATTCGAAATGATTTGTATGTTACATTGTTACAAGGAGATTTGCATGGTAATAAAGGTTCAGACAAAAATATTGAAGCAAGAATAACAGTAGTTGATACAACTGGAATCGTTAAAAACGTAACTTTTGGTTAATGACAATTAATCTGTGCAGTGATACTTTCTTCTAAATGATAAAGCTCATCTACTCATTTCTTTCAGAGTATCGTTATGATTACTGCAGAGGGAGTGCACTGGAACACTACATATCAGAGTTTAGTTTTTTATCATGATGATAAACCAAAGTGGAATGAAACTGTGAAAGTATGTTGTTATTCAAGTTTTCAGGGTCAGAATATTGTATCAAAAATATTTAAATACAGACCAGGAATCTGTAGGCTCATTTTGATGGTGTATTCAACTATTCAGGCATGTCTTCTATATTTATATTCATTATAGATACAAATCCCAGAAAACATTGATCAAAATATTCATCTTCGGATAACTTTCTATCATAAAAAGTGCTTCGATAGAGCGAAGCAAGAAAAAGGACCGTTTGCATTAGCATTTGCTCGTATAATGGAAGGTGCAACTTTGATCAAGGATGGCTTGCATGAATTACTCGTTTATAAGGTCAGACGTGAACAATTACAAGTGCTGTATATAGGTTTTTTCCCCCTTTATGTGTCCTTTATCTCACTTCTGACGGTATTTAGATCGAAACAGGACGTTTTGATGATAATGATACCAGTTATACTCGCTTGCCTGCTACACGAAGCGAACTTAAAGCTTCTCAATCTCAGTTAAGGCCTCAAACAACTACTTTTGTTCATGGGGAGAAAAATTTTCTTACTATCGAAACTGTAACTTGTTCTACTACGCTTACCCACAACAAAAGCCTTTTAGATATACTTAGATGGAAGCAAAATAGGTGTGTATGCTTGAAGTTTTCCATAATTTGAGATCATAATTAATTTCTTCAAAGTTTTTCATTCGCTTTATATTTCATCAAGATTCATTTCAAAAATTAAAAATTTTTCTTATATCTATAGAGTATTTACAAGTTTTTAGAAGTAATCTCAAAGAAAGACTGGAAGAAATTTCACGACCAAGAGGCTTAGCAGTCGGTGAGGAATTGGTGAAGTTCATTCCTAATTTTTGCGATGCGCTTTTCGAAATTTTGGATCATTATCCTGACTACGACAGCTTAGTGTTTGATGCTTTGGTGCTTTTCAGTTTTTCTAATTATTTGATGGATTTATAGCAAATCTTGTATTGTTCTTACCAATCTTACTAGTTTTTACAACCTTTACTTAGTTTATAAAAGTCATTAGAAGGAAAAACCTTTCTTAAGAATTGATAACAAACTTTTTATTCTCAAAAGTAAACCTTCTTTTCAGGTTTCTTTGATACAGCTTGTCAGTGAAGAGCGTTATAAAAACTTCCGTCCAGTCCTTGAAAAATATGTCGAGAACTTTCATTCAACTGTGGCGTTTGTGTATTTATTGAAGTTTATTGATAAAATTTGGAATTTAGAACTGTCAAAACTGTCATATATGTATATGGTATATATGGTAGCTCTTCGTCATTTCATTGTCAAGGCTCATGTAGTGAAATATACCGAAGGCATCTTAAATTGCTGATGTTTAAGGCATCTAAGAAAACATTTTTGTTTAGAAAATTGCTACCAGTTCTTCGTGAACGGATCGAAAATGCTGAAGACACGCACGAAAGATCGTTGAATACCATGAAAAGTCTTGGCACTCTTATTAAATTGATTGTTAGATCAAAGTTATGCAGTGACAGGTAAGTTTCCAGCTTTACTATATGCTCATTATGGCAATTTATAGTTAAGTTGTAGCAAATTTTTCAGTTACCACAGCTCTAAAATGGTCTTATTTAACTTAGACTTGCAGACTGGGTATAACTTCTAATAATTTCCGACACTTAATCGATGAACTTTTGGAAGCGTTTGTTACTTTTATGCAAAATAAGCGCGTACGGATGACTTGCCAAAACATGGCTTTAAAACACATACCAGCGATCATTCCTCATCTTATTTTCTGTGGTGTTTATGATAGTGATAGTCTCACGTAAGTCAAAGCCATCAATCAGTTCATAAAACAAAATTCGATGCACTTTACCTTTTTAACGTTTTTTAAAACCATATCTATAGTATTTTTCAATGTCTCGTTCATTTTTAACATTTCTTATACTATTTTATTAATGTTTTTTTGTCTCTAAGTCATTATACAGATAATTAATTATGCTATTTTAATGATTTAAGAAATTTTTTGGTGAAGTTAATGGATCATCTTGGTGAAAACATCAGTTCAAGATGCCGCTTGAATTTTTTGAAGGATATAGTGCAGACAGAACACTTTATTGAAGAAGAAAATCGGAAGAAATTGCTTCCAAAAGTAAGTTTTTATATTTCTTTTAAAAATGCGGTGTATAACCTGAAAACTAGCAATGTTATTTGACATTTTTCATTTTCTCATCATACATATTGAGAGCATTACTTCGGGAATAACAGGTACTATAATATTAAGTGAATTTATTTTGGAACTTTTTCAAGTCATATTTGTGAGATGAGTGTAGCAATTTTAAACCTAGTTTATGTTTTGGCTTGAGCGGGACGGATGGCTGTGTGTAAAAGTACATTTCTTTATCTGGTTCATCGAATTAAGCACAAAATATGATAAATTTATTTCACTGATGAATTTGTGCTATATTATTTATGATTTAAGAAACTCAATGGAGTCAAGTTTTCAAGTAATTTTGTAATCAAGTTTGTATCTATTGTATAGCATCTTCTTTTGCGAAACCGTATCCATACGTTTTTATGCAATCAAATAATCTGAAGCAAATTCATTGTTTTTTTACCCATACTTTTTCATTGAAATGACTGTTGCAGATCATCGAAAAAGTTGTTGAGGAGCTTGAAACCTCTGATTTTCTGCATCTACAGGATGTTGCGTCTGATTATTCGAAAGTAGAGGAATGTATATCTGCAAGTGCTGACATCATGTTTCACATCATTGAACGTCTTTTTTGTTCTGCGGTTAGTCATAACAAAGTTGGTTTAAAAAATTTTAATTTGATAGTTAGCATGCACATATTTCTATAGCGATTCTGAAGGTTAATTTTTTTATTGTAATTTAAAGTACCGTCATTTTTACAAACTTTTTCCAGGAATCCATTTATGAACAGGGAAGTGAAGAAGAACTGTTCCTCATCGTATCAAAATCATTTCGCACTATAGTACAAACAACCATAGTTTTAATCACTGCAAAATATTCTGCTGTTTGTGTCTTAATTCATCGTCTTTAAATATTTCAGTTTTAGAAAATTGATTTTTACAAACTTGTATTGCATTAGAATCATAATTCCCTACTTTACATAATTGAAGAAAAAATTGCACAGAACCGAATATTTTTAGTGCGTGTTCTGTGCTCTTACAATTGCAATTCTTAGCAAATTGTCGGCACAAATGTACAAAAATTATCTAGAAAGTCATTCTACTCATATTGATAAGCATGATTTGCTGATGGAGCTTGTTCATCTTTTTCGTGATCTCATCAACAAGTCACCGTTTCCAAGCTCCTGGTTTCAAATGATATTGTTGCAAGACAGGCAAGTTGTAGTTTACTCTGCATTATTATTAAGTTCTTATAGAAATTACGTGCAGTGTTTAGTTGCAAAAAGTATACAATGATGAAAAAAAGATCGCTAGAAGAAAATTGTCATCTGTGGTTTTCATAAATTCAGTCAACGATAATGTTATTAACAGGATGAATTTTATAATCTAATTTAGCAGGCTGCTGATTTATTTACTGCAAGCGGATATAGTAATAGATGTAGAAGTTCACAAATTTTATAAGTCATAGTCATAATGCAGAGAGCACTTATATCTCCGCTACATTAACTCTCAAATTAGATTTTCGTTCAATTGAGTTATTTCTGTCTACTTTTCTGTGAAAGTTGATTTTTTTTTAAATCATAGATAATTTCTTCAAGTATCCTTTAATTTGTTCAGAGTAATTTTAAAAACGATGAAATTCATCATGTCTACAGTAATAAAACACTTCCACGACGATCAGTTTGATGCTGAAGTTAGTTTAGTTTTTTTGTTCATTGTTCTCCTGTTAATCTTTGATTTTTTGAGGCATATCCTTTTTGCGTAAAAAGCCAAAAAAAAAAATGATTCTTATTGTTTTTAGCTGTGGCGAGAATATATGTTAACGATGGTTGCGCTTTGTACACAAAGAGCTTTGCAGCTAGGTTCGCAAACAATCAGTGAGCGACGGTCACGACTTCTCTCTTCTCAACCAGATTTACGAAGGATAGCGGTTGCTGATTTACGCTCCATGTGGTTCCGTTTGTCAAGTGAAATTTTATTGTTTATTTCCATACACAAATACCAATTTAACTCTGCATTCTCTTAATCAATCCTTTTTTTTTTCATTTTTATAGTGGCACAGAAAATTCTGTATGTACCATCTATGATTGGTGCCTATCTTCGAGTTGCTCTTGTCGATGATGACGTTGTACGCGAGACTATTGTGCCAATATTTTTCGATATGCTTCAGTGTGAATTTCATGCATCGCCTCTGCGTAATTTCTCCAAAGTGATGTTTTAAGTTCCATTACATTAAAGCTTTTATTTTGGTGGCGACGCCTGTACGTAGCTTTTCCATTTGGATTAAACTAAATTACTATTTTAAGTTTGCAAACGAAACGATTATGCAGCTTGATTGCTTAGTTGATGAAGATCGTGGTGGAGAAAAATTCAGAACACAGCTTAGGAACATAATGATGGATATGTAAGCTTTTTTTTTGGGGATTTAAAAACATGATTTGGAGAAATTAGGACGTCCAAGATTTAGGAATTTTCAGGTGTCGTTCAGATATTGATTTGGTTACAGAAGGTTGTAAATTTGTGGCTTTAGTTGATACTCTACTACAGCATCTCTTTGAATATCGTGAGGTGCGAACTAATGGTTATTGCATAGAAAATGGAATGGACCGAACTGTTGAACTACTGGTTAATTTTTCATTGTCAGAAATTATGAAAGATTACACTATTTCAACTGTTTTAATAAAGAAAGAAAAGTAAATGTCCTATCATTTGGTTTTTGAAACTTTAGAAGTTTTACAAACTCATTGGTCAACCGGATTTATATGTCAATTATGTTTATAAGCTTTATGATCTACACATGCTGAGCAACAACAAAATTGAGGCAGCCTTCACTCTTCTTAAGCATGCTGAAACATTGTCAGTATGTTTTACTGTATATCTTCTATTATTGCTCTTTTTTGTTTCATGATATTTTGATTCTTGTCGATGCCTTTCATATGCAGAATGCCAGCATTGCAGCTTTCTTTGTATTTTAGAGAAAAGAATGTAATCAGTAACATAAAAAGATATTTAGTGGGCCGAAAGTGATCTACCGGTTGCTCTTGTAGACGCTCATTTAAATCGTCAATGTGCCACACAACGTCAGCTGAAAGAAGTTCTTTATAATGAAGCAGCAAATCTTTTTGATGAGAAAGAACTATGGGAAGAATCTATTAGTATTTTGAAAGAACTGACGTTTCAGTATGAAAAATACTTTGAGTATGAGAAATTGCCAAGCCTTCTTGTGAGTTCGTTCTACTTCCTTCTTTCATAGTTTATTATATTATTTTTAACTGATGTCATTTGCAAATCACTTAATAAAGTTTATTTTATCTGTAGCAACGCCTTGCTGAACTATATCATAAAGTGAGCACACAGGGACGAGTAGCTTGTACATATTTCTTTGTTGGATTTTATGGTCTCAGTTTTCCAAGCTATTTAAATGACCGGCAGTTTATTTACCGAGGAAATGAATGTGAAGTTAGTTCTAAATATTTGTCCTATTATGAATTTGCTACCTATCACAAGACCTTGGAAAATTCTAGTGAATATTCTTGCAGGCTATTGTTAGTTTTCGTCATCGAATGCTGTCAACTTTTCCTGGTTCTCAGCTTATTAATACGATGGATGATTGTTCACAACTTTCAAAACGTGATGGCAAATTTTTGCAAATTTTCCCTGTAAAACCGATTTTTGAAAGCAATTGGGAAAGGAAGTGTAGCAATCGTTTGATTCGATGGTATTTCAAAAATAATAGAGTAATAAAGTTTTTATGAATTAAGGAAAATAAAGATTGTTACCGATCTATCAATAATTTGGTAGCTGTATAATATTTTGATCAGTTTTGAAATAATAGTTGATTTCACTACTAATCATTCTATTTTCGTGTAAAATACTGTGTCATCTGATATAATATATATAATATAAGATATAAGTCTTTGGTCATATTTGTTATTTATGGGAACTTATCTCTCAATAAAGTTTTTAGGTACGAAATTTCGAGTTTTGTAAGGGTGAGATTCGGAAAGAAACAAAGTGGACTTTATTAGAAGATAATGAAATAATGCGATCATGGGTGATTCGACGATCAGTTTCGATCGAGGAACAATTACCTAACATTTTGCGGTGGTCACAAATAACTGCTTTTTCAGATCCAGTGAGTTTCGTGTATATGTATACTTCTATTCATCACTGAGAGCAATCCATGTGATGTCGTCTTCGAAGCGAATTAGCATTTATCTTCAGATTGAGTGTTCTCCATTGATGGAGGCCGTTACTACAATGCGAAAAAATAATGAGGAAATGGAAGAAATGGCACACGTAGTTCTTTCCACTCCGTTGGAATCTGTTGTTCCATTAGGTGGTAAAATTCGAGGCATTGTGCAGGCATTTGTTCAAGGAGGAATCAGAAATTACAAAGTTTTATTTAATTTGGGCTTTTAGTTTTTGATAGTAATCCAATTTAAAATCTGACTTAAAAATCAGAAATTTTGCTTATTTTCCAGATATTTTTCTCTGATCGGTGTGCTGCAGTTTTGACATCCGAGGAATCTGAGCTTGTAAAAAATCTGAAAATGTTGATTAGGAATCAGGTTATTAGTGAATTTCCTTTATTTCAGTAATTTTTAGTCAATGTATGAGAAATAATTTTTATATTAATACATCTTTTAGGTACCAATTTTGGAATTTTGTCTGTACGCTCATGCATCAAGAAACCATCAAGTAAATGCTCAGTTTCACGAGTCACTTGTGACTTCGTTTTATGAGTATAAGGCGAATATTGAAAAACAATTTGGAAGAGTGGTAAGGACCAGTTAATTTATGCGTTGACAGTAGACTATTTGTGAAGATGTTAATTTTCGTATTAACAGTAGTAATAAAGAATGAAGTAGGTGGTTAAAAGCAGTTACGGAAAACTTGCACTACTGTGTTTGTTTCACTATTATGGCTAACACTGAATGCCACTAGTATGTTTGGATCTAGCGTTCTATTTTGTCAAGATTTATCTCTACTTTTACATCTTTTTAGGCGTCACAACTTCCACCGAATTGTTCTATTCATCTTGTACAACAACGAGAAGATCGGCGAACTAGTAGTTTTGAAACTTCTAGGTGAAGTAGTTACCAATAATGGTCATTAAAATATTTGTGCTCTCATTCTTGAGATTATATTTTTATTTTGATAAGAAGAATAGTATTACGGTTTTTTCTTCTTACATATCTCTTTGATTTTGAAGTACTCCATCTGTTATGAGCGTATTCAAAAGAGGTGGCGCTACTAAAAGTGGAAGAACAACTCCCAGGAAATCAAGTGGTCTAAGATCTGATCTGAAAAATGCATTTGAAAATGGGTAATATATTCTGTGTTTTTTAAAATGATTTTATTGTTCAGACATTGTTTTCTAAGTTTTTGTTCTCTGCTACTTTATATAGAAGAAGTTTCATGCAGAATCGCGAAACGAATTTCGTCGTCATCAGACCGTAGCTTTGACAACATGTCTAACGAAAATAGCTCAACTGCTAGGTCCACTGTAGACTTCTCTCGTTTTGAGCATTCCCTCAAATCTATTTCTACGTCATCTTTGCAAATGACGGAGGGTGATGCTACACTAAAGTCGGTAAAGTCAATTGAGAGGTATTTTCTGATTTTTGTCAGTCTTGAATTTTTTAAAATGGAAAAGATTCCTTTTCTAATCTTTATGCAAAGTCTTATTATGGATTCAGCCATGAAATTGAAAGTTTAATATCTAGAATGTTTTTCTAAATACAAATTTTGTAATTTGGAGACTAAATTAGTTTTGTAATACAATTATGTAGTGGTTAAAGTAATGTAAATATGGAAAGTGAGAAATCTTTCGCTTCAGATCTGCTGATGTGCAAGTAACGCCGCCTCCATTACCCCCTCGACATGCAAAAGCACCCTTACCGATGTTCTTGTAATTCTGTGCTACAGTTATTACAATTAAATCTGTTGCTGTAGTGTAAATATTGAAACTGAGTGAAAATCTTTAATTTGGGTATAATTCTTTTGTTTTTAAATTGGACTCTATTTGATTCTAGATTTTATGTTTGTGCGTTTTTTTTTTCATTTTTATTGTGGAAGTGGCAATATCCTTTGCAGGCAAAAAATTATACTCTTATTTAAAAGAAAATGCAGCGACAGCATGACTTTAATTCTCTTTCCTTTACATATATTTTTATTTAGAAATACACTAATTTTTACCTATAGCATTATGTCATATGGAATAATGTTTTTAGATTAACCGTTTCATGCTAGGTTCTTATTCTTTGTCACTTTTGGATGTTATTTAGATCTGTATCCGGGTACATTTTTCGTTGTTTTTATTTTCCGGTAACTTTGTCCGCTTTTTACTGATATTTTGTACGCATATAATTAAGAGCCTGAAAATTGTTGTAATATGTTGTAAAAAGTTTTAACAAAGAAATTAATTTAGGATACTTAATTAAATTTTCAAAAATACGAAGTTTTCTCTGGTAATATGTAGATTAGCTTATAGAAGGTCATAAATTATTTTGTTTAGATTGAGATGTCTAATTTTCAGTCTTTCTTAAAAATATATGTTGTGCTTTTATTACCATATTGCTTGAAACTTTGACATGTTTTGTGAAATTGAATTTGTTGATAGTTGAAAATAGGGATGTGTTAAGACGTTCCTTTAAATGGTTCTAGTCAATGCTTTTTTACTGTCTTATATTTGATTTTTTGTCGCTTTTGTTCATATGAACATACATCGTTCATATGAACATACATCGATATTACTTTTGCCTTTATATGTAATAAACTTCCCAACGAATGTGTTTATGATTCTATCAGTGAAAATTTGTACATTTATTAGGTGAAGTCACTTAATTGCATTCAGAATGTTTCCGTCGTCCAAAGTCAGAATCAAATGGAATAATTTATTAATTCTTGAAACAAAATCTTGAGATTAGCCAAAATTTACAGGTACTGACTAGGTTAATATAGTACATTTTTCCAGTCATAATGTACAAAGTTTACTTTGGTTTCGTGTTTTTTATTAGCATTTTCTGGAAGTATACCCGTTTGTGATTAAATATGAAAATAATAGTTACTCGGGGTATATCAAGTACTTGAAAGGTTTGTGTTTTTCTCTTTGTGCAAAGGAATGCTTGATTTCCTCAGCGGCATTTTCTAAAATTTTTTCAACATCTAGTGCAGCTTGTGAGATCTCATCCATTAAGTAAGTTTTGTTTTTGCCAGTTTCAAGCTGCTCCAAAATCATGTTCTCATCAAATGTTAGGAATGAAAATTTCTGGTTTTTGTTTGTTTTTCTGGTCGTCGTCTTTATAGATTTTGGACGGACAGTAGTGATGTAAGTACGTAACATATCATGGGTTTGTTTGGTGGCGTAATTTTTGAAGTCAATAAATGATGAATTTTTGAATGTTTCTTGTTGTGTTCGCATAAATTTGTTTTGATTCATCATTTTATCTGATGGCATTATTTTGCTTTGACTTTCATTTCGTTCATTCGTCAAAATCCTATTAAGGGCAATCTCTTTTGCCAAATGCTTGCTTAACATATCTTCTAATTTTTGCTTCATTTGATCAGAAGTTACGCTTCCATCATTATGTACTGATTTCATTGAGTCTTCTTTGCGTGGTTGGGCAATGTTTGCTTTGTTTAGAGAGGAATTATCGCCAACTTGCAATAATTTGATCATAAAATCGTTGTTTACTGCATTATTATTAGTTTCATTTGTTGATATAGTATCATGAATTGTTTGATTCGTTGTTGTGCCATCAGTATCATTTTTTTGCATCCGTTCATTAGATTGTTTCTGTTGTTGATATTGATCGTCAATTTTCGTTTCGTTTTGTTCTTTCATCTTATTGGTTTCTGAGTTGTTTTTCGCAATCAGAAGTTCTTTAAGACGTTCCACCAGTGTTTTATTAGTATTATTGTTATCAAGTAATGCCCGTAACTCGGAGCTCTTTTCATGTTTAAGGAATAGATTCAAATTCTGAAAAATATCTACAAATTGTTGATACCATGTCCGTTGATCTTCAGGTTCTGTTTCAATTTCATCACAGGGATCATTATTTGGTTCTTGAATATCTGATATCGGTAGATTTGATGAAAAATTTAGACTGATGATATTTTGATTTAGATCATCTTTCTCATCAATCATAGGCTTTTCTTTTTCTCTTCTTTCATCTACATTTGATTTCTGATGATCAAGCTGATTATTTTGTAGCTCAATGACTGCTTGATTATCATCCTGTACATTTCTATTGTTCCTTTCATCCCTTACTTCGATCTTTTCATCGCTTGGTGTAGCTGTTTCTTCAGTGTCCACTTCATTATTACGTAGTGGTTTCTCCTATAAATACGTTATAAACTCTTCACTGTTTTTACAAAAATATCGAAGTAATCATATTTACTAGTTTTTGCTCATTAAAATGTAGCATTCTGTCTATCTTAAAGTGGACTTTTTATCATTACAAATCAAATGAGATTAGCTAGCTAGTGTTTTTTAATATAAAAAGCGAAAAAGATAAATCCAATGCAAACAAGTAACTAATTGTCTATAATCGAAAATATCACTTACTGCCGTTTTGTCCCTCAGAAATTCCGTTTTTGGTGCATTTGGTTGTGCTTTCAAATATTTCATCCCGACCTTTGTAGTGTTGTGCAGTTTGTTGAATAGGTGCATGAAGAACTCGTAAAGCGGATTGTTTCTCTTTTCATGCTTAAAAATATTTGTAAAGAATGTACTTGAAGTAATTTCTTCTTACAAATTAAGATATCCAGACCACAAATCTTTCCATCTCCATGCACAGAACTATCCCTCCAATGATAAATTTGATCAAAATATGAAAAAATTTTGAAAATATTAAGAATTGAGTTAATTGTTTTCATTTTCATTATTATTTGAATTTATTCAAAAACAATGGAAATTGATTATGTAGAAGCTTATTTTAAAAATCTCAGCAAATGAAAGATGAAATAGAAACTTCGTGATATTGAACATAACTTCTTTGACATATAAATCGATTTATATGATCGAATTCTGGTGTTTGACCACATGCTATAGATTTCAGTATTCTATTATCAATGTCGTAGAGCGCACATTGTGCACGACTATCGAGGGTTGTATTCTTCATCCTTACATCTATCATTGTGAACTCCCATTCTCTGCAATTGAACAAGAATGTCTTGTTTTTATCTAAACAAATAATGAAGAGCAGTTAGTATATTGCTCATTTTTTGATAATATTTGGTTTAATAAATTATAAGTTTGACAGGTAGGAAGCATTGAACACTGTATTGTCTACCCATCGCCATTCTTTACCAGAATTATTTTCTTTTTCTATTTCCATTAATCCGATTTGCACAGTTCTACCTGATTTCACGAAATCATTTTGCGGATAATGTGCTATTATCCATTCCTAAAAATTTTTTTAATTTCTAAATAAAGTTTGTTTTTCATTGATGCTTTAATTTTTGCGTTTACTTTTTAGTTTCTTACGCTATATTGCAGTTTTTAAATTTTAATCACTATAGCTTCATATTAGAGTATTGATTACGTAATTACAATAAGTCAGTCATATTACGTTTTGTTAAATATCATACAAATTACTATGAAAACGTTGGTACACTTTTTTTGCTTTTTGTATTTACAAATTTCAAAGTGTGAAAAAAAAATTATTTCATTTAAAACATCATTGGCATGATTTCAATTTTTTTATTGAATGTCAAATTTTAAGTTATAGTGTAGAGAATTTTCTCATAAATGACTGTACCAACTGCTGCAAACTTCTTATGATAACGAGATCAGAAGCTAATGTAAGGCAGTATTCTCGACCCATATTCCAAGACTGCTCGCTGAGATGAAATTGGTAATAGTAACCTTCAGGATCAGAAATCCATGAAGTGCCGTAGTTTTGGAAAAATGGTCGTATGAACTGGAAATATATGTAAGAAAAGTATAATTCATTTTTATTTGTTCAGAAAATTTGTTGATTATATTTCCGTTCCTTAATTTTAATTTTTCACTTAGAATTGAAATAATTGACAAGCTTATGTTTTCAAAAATTTTTTCAGTTCTCTGAAATATTTTGTAAAAACATATAGGGTTTGCAGAAATTTCTTTGTTGATATATTCAAATATTAAATTCTTGGAGGTTAATTCATACTAAAAAGTAACACATTTTTGACTTAACTTCAGTCATAGAGGCTTTTGAAAAATAGAGGAATCTTCATGTGCATCAAAATTATTGCTACTATAATAAAATGCGCAGTCCATTATACTGCAGTCACTGAATTGTTTTGAACATATGAAAAAATAGTCCGTCATTTCAGTTCTCTTATGTGTTACTGAAATTCATCTCAAGGTTGAGGAAAAATTCACATACCTTTTGCTGTCTCGTTGTTGCTGAATTTATATCTTTGCAAAGTGGCATAATGAGAATAACTAAAAAAATTTCCTCTTAGTAAGTAACATATGTAATGGAATAGTTGTTGCTGAAACTTTCAGTTTAGAGTTTTATCATATTTATGTTCAAAGAAAAAATAATGAACGGTTGTAGAAAAAGAAAAGAAAACTAAGTTACTATATAATACCAATTAGCTTGATTGAGAGATATCTTTTAGGCATAATTACTTCTATGCAGTACAAAATTGGTTTTAATATTTCAGCGAGAGAAACTTCGTTAACTTCGTTTATGGTATTTGACCTGAAATTTACATAAAATGCTTAATGAGTTGTAGATAACATTAAGATGACATTTAAATCACTGATAAGTAGTCATTTTTTTAGTTTGAACACAAACACAAAGACGTTATAGTAGATCAAGTAGCAGTTAATAGAAACATCTTAATTCTACCTGAAGTTTTTGCTTTACTAGATTTAATCTTTCATTTTGCTTTGTCAAAAATAGCTATTGCACTGAAAAATCAAAATTTAAGCACAAATAAAATCTAAGTATTGTTTTCAACTAAACAGTCTAAGTTTTCAACTAAACAGTTTTTCAAGTTTTTAGCAAAATTAGTTTGAAGTTGTTAATATTTTTTGAAACACTTAGTGGGAAGACGCATGGTTAAACAAATGAATGAAGTAAAGTGAGACAAGGAAGAGTGAAGAAAAAGTATTGCTGATGTTGTTTTGCGGAATTGAGGTGGGAATTGTGAAGAGTGAGGAATTTCCTTTTAATTCAGTTTTTATCGAATTATATAAGTGACCTCTTCTAGGTCAGTGACGTGACCCAGATATAACCCATTTACCCGACAAATAAATTACTGATTTTTATTCCTTAAAATTCCATCATCTTATTACTTTTCTTTGCAAGCTTTTATCGCAGATTTAGTTGTTTGAATTCAAGAAGTTATGTAGTAAGGTTAGCATTTAAAAGCTGAAAGTTCATTTGTGAGCTAAAATTCGGAGAGATTTGTTTCTTTTCCTCTTTGCAGATCTTTTTGAGGAAAAGTAGTAAGAGTAACATTCAAATTAATAATCATCGTAAAAAGCTTTACAAATGTTGGCTACTATTTTTTTCGGGGGTCATGCATGTAAGTCATGCATCGACCGGCAAAGATTTGACCTGTTAATCTATCCTTTCAAATGATAGAAAAAAAAATTTTTCTTTTTGCTTTTTTTTCCATCTGTAATCCTGCTTCCATTTCAATATATTTTGTGATTTTATCATAGATTAAATATTTCATGTTTCAAAATCTAATTTTTTTCCATTCATTTCTTACCTAAGTATCAATGACTACGACATGAATTATGTTTGGTTTCAAAAAACCTAATTCACAATTGCAATTTTTCTTCAGGTAGCAGTGTGCAATAAATTGAGTTTAGTTAAAATTTGACAAGTAATAGTCGAATCAAATGGTGATGTAAGAAACTTTTAGCAATTTATGTTTATAAAAAAGTATATATAGTAGTGGTTGCTCTTTTTATTAGTTTCTTTCGATATCTAAAAATGAGCTCTTACAATGGATTACCAAATTGTACCAGAAAAAACCAATCATTCAACAAATTTGGGTCATTAGTGCAGAGATAGTTCATGAGATTGCATTTTTTTTTTTGAAGCTTTGTTGATATTTATATTTTACATGCAGTTTCATAAAAGAATTTTCATACTCTGGAAAAAAGCGTCAGTTATCGAAGCTGTACTTCGTTTTGAGACGGCATTTGTTTGTTTTTTTGTATTTTTTTTACTGTTTCTCGTTAACACACAAAAATCAGTCTTAATTTTTAGCTGTCAGAATCAATTGGGTTAATTTTACATAATGGTAATGTGCAGTTCATACATGCGAATATATGTTGCACTAGCATATTAACTTTAGTTTTTAACGAACAATCTTCAATGTAAATTTTATCTGCATTTTTTTGTTGTTGATGATTTCACATCATTTTAATGCATAATAACTGAAAAATATATAGGCAAGTATTTTTTTAATATCCTTTGAATTACTTTTCATGCAATAACATGAATTTTTTGAGGAATAATTAATTGCATATACTTAATATTACCTTTAAATTAGTTTATTTATCATCACCAGTATTCATTCCACATCATGTTTAATTGGCTGTTACTGAAGTAAAATCAGCAACGTGAAAATCGAAAAAAACTTATAAGCTATTTATTATAAAATTGTAAGAAAATATTTGAAATTTGAAAGTAATTGTTTAGTTATACAGAAATGCCTCAAATTATAACGGCATGATAGTGTGATGTTGTTTAGGTAACAAGCAGAAAAGTTGCGCTGATTTTCGCAGATAGTTATAGTCGCTTAACGAGTACATAGTTCATCACTTCTTCTCGATTTGCTTAATTTTTTTACTTTCGTTGTTGTTTTGTAAAATCAGTCTCTTTTCCACATTATTAATAGAACTGTTATCAAATGCATAACGCATTTTATTTTATATTGCATTTCTCGGCTTATTTTGTTTCTCTCTTTTTTCTTACATTGATAATGTCATTGATTTTAATCGTAAAAAAGTTTTAAGCACAAAATAATGCTTGCATTACAACCAAACATCTATGAAGTATTAAAAATATATAATTTTTTGATGAAACTTCACTTTTAAAATTGAAAACGATTAGTGAAATTTATTCGCTAATCGTTTTCAGTAGAGTCGTATCAAAGCACATTAAATGTAATCAAAGGTTTCTAAACTTTTTTTTTGAAAGGAAGAGAATGGATCATTCACATGAATGCATGTTTACTCAAGGATTAATGGCAATGAAAAATACTCTTTATTCTTTGGATCAAAATTTAGCTCAAATAAAGCCGTGGAAATTAATCGTAGGAACTGCTGCTAGTGTGCTTATTTTTCAGCACATTCGACGTGTGTGGAAAGCATCAGAGCAACCGTTATATTTCCGGTAATGTTTAGAGACTTGAAATTGTCATCGCATTCTAACAGTTTTAGTTGATTACGTAATTTTCTCACTAACTAAAATTGGGCACTTTTATAAATTTTATAACTTTTCATTAATGTAATATTAATTTGTTATTATACGGTAACTTTGACAATTCATTTATTTAAGCAACTGCTTTTATAAATTTATCTGAAAATATTGAAGTTACAGGAGATTAGATTTAAAAAGTGCGCACCTTGTTTGGTACCGAAGCAATATTTATCATAATGACTTGCCTTTGTTTTTAAATTATTATGAATTTACCATTTATTAGCTGAAGACTGAACAAAATTACTGTTTAGAGATGCTTGGTAAATGAGTTATCATTCCATATCGAATCCTTAGATGAATTTTTTTTAGGTCTCCGAGATAACTTTTGATTAGTATAAAATGAATCATAGAAACTAAATTTGTAGTAAACATCAATTAATGTATTTGTGTTTCATATTTATAGAATTTGCAAACATGGCTGTAAAACATCATGCTAAAAATACCTTTTTAGTGATTTTATTTTATAGGAAACATGAATATTTCACCAGAACATGTGTAGTAAATTCTAATATAAAGTTATATTTTCTTACATATTCTAGGCTTCGTGGTAAAATTTTTTCCATAATTTGTCGGCTACCTACTGTGCGAAAAAAACTTGAAGAACAGTTAGAAAATACACGGAAAAAAATGTATCATGAAATTCATAAGTGTGACCATACCGGTGTTTTCCACTGTGTACTCCCAGAAACTGGTCTGGATAGTACAAAAATTATCAGTACAGCGAGTAAGTTTTTGAAAATTTCGCACTACATGAGTAGTCTTTTATTTGCATCGACTAATTCTTTAACACTCCCTTTTAGAAGAATACAGTGATATGACGGAAACAGATGTTTCATCCGGTAAAGTGAGTGGTGCCGTTTATACTGACCATAACGATATACAACATAACCTACTTTCGAAAGTAATTATTAATTTAAAATATCCTTATTTTAAGTAAGAATACAATATTCGCGCAGTTTTATAAAAAAACATTGTGATTACAGGTGTTTGATATTTACGCATTCTCTAATCCACTTCATCCTGATGTTTTTCCCGGGTGTAGGAAAATGGAAGCTGAAATCGTTCATATAGTAGGAAATCTCTTCCATGGAGGATCAGATTGTTGTGGAACGGTACGCAAAATTTTTTTTCATACATTCTACACTTCAAACATTTTTGTTCATGCTCGGATGCTTAAAGTAATGTTTAATTTTAATTTCAATCTACTGTCAACATCATATTTAATTTGGAATTTTTGCAGGTTACTTCGGGTGGGACAGAATCAATTGTTCTGGCAATGCTTGCTTATCGTAATTTAGCAAATGCTCGAGGCATATCAGAACCAGAAATCTTGGTTCCAATCACTGCTCATGCAGCATTTGACAAGGTTAGTTTTGAAGCTTGCAATGTAAAGATTAGATTACGATAATTTCTAGTATTATAAATCTTGAGAGGAAGAATTCGACTTCAAATTTATGAAATCCAGTTGATTTTTTTTCGTCTTTTTAAGGCAGCACATTTATTTGGTATGCGCATAAAACATATACCCGTTGATGGTGATCAAAAAGTCGACATAAATAAGATGAAACGAGTTATATCAAGAAATACTTGTGTTGTAAGGTTTTTCTAGCTATTTTTTGTAATATGAAATTGACCAATTAATAATTTCGACATATGTTTTTCAGCTTGTTGGATCAGCACCAAACTTTCCGACAGGTACAATAGACAATATCGAAGAAATCGCGAAAGTATGCATTGAAATGAACAGAAATGAATTTTTTTGTGCTATCTTTCTTAAAGTCTCAAATTGTCTCGTAAATAATCATCATTCTGGATAAAATTTGAATAACGTTAGCTTCAGCAAACAAATTAAATTTCAGATTGGACAAAGCTATGACATTCCGGTGCATGTTGATGCTTGTTTAGGGGGTTTCTTGATAGTTTTTATGGAAGAAGCTGGTTATCCTCTGAAACTGTTTGATTTTCGTCTCGACGGTGTTACATCTATATCGTGTGATACACACAAAGTTAGCTCATTTTTAAAACTATTTCCGAAGAAGGAACTGTAATCAAGTATAAGTTCGACAAAGTGGATATATAAGTAGCTGTATTTAATTATATTCTGAGAAGTAAAAGCGAATTCTAGTATGGCTATGCTCCAAAAGGATCGTCGGTGGTATTATATCGAAAACCGAAATATTTGCACTATCAGTATATGAGCATCCCAGGATGGACTGGTGGTATTTATGCTACACCGACTTTAGCAGGTATGATTATTTGTTTGTTTGTTTTTTGATAAGGAGATGCATATGTTGCAAATTTAAACGCTAGTTTAGAGACCAAATAAATTTTCAAAATCTAATCTCATTAATGATGAGCAATACCAACCTAGTCTCAATTTGAATTTTGGTTGTAGTATTTTTGGTTTAAGTCGACAAAAAAGCTTATTGCAAAGTTTAGGAAGTCGCTCTGGTTTGGCGATATCACTAGCTTGGGCTACCTTGCTTTATTTTGGGCATTCTGGTTATGTGGAACGGACTAAAGAAATTATTGCATGTGCTCGTCGCATAAGCTGTGCGATTATGGTAATTTGAGTAAATCATTATGGAAAGTTTTCATGAAAAATCTTTGAAATTTGAAGTTGTAATCTTCAATGTCTATTTTAGTTTAAGCGATATTTTGTTACTATAGCAAAATTTTAAGTGATAAAGTACTAATCATAATTTTATTTTTTATTGCATTAGAAAAGTAAAATAACTACTTAAATTTAATAAAGAAATTAAAATTACCTACTGATATATCCTGTTTTTCTTTCTTTATTTCTACTTAATTAATTATCGGCTTTGCATTTTCAAATGTATCTTATGCAGTACCATGGGCATAATTGGGCTTTTTTACTTTTGCTGATGTTGAGTATGATTAGAGAGTATACAGTGTAATTGTTTCAGAACGAAATTGATGGATTACGTTTGCTTGGTACACCTGATGTATCTGTTGTAGCATTCACTAGTGATTCTTTCAATATTTATGCCCTGGTAGATGAAATGTCTGCCCTTGGATGGACTTTAAATTCAATACAAAATCCTGCGGGGTAAGTTTCTTATATAACCATATTTTTAAGAACAGCATGTTTGCATTTCTGGAAATTCTATTAAAGATCATTTCACTGAGAACAAATTTCCTAGACTAGTTTACTAACTCATATTGTTGCTGCCGTCATATGACAAACCAGGTACAACAAATAAATTTTATTGTATCTATTATGTTTAAAGTTCTTTGTGATCGAATATATGAATCGTTTTATTTTCCATTACGTCAGTTGTGAATAAATGAATTGGTTTCACAATTTTATTTATGATAGTTTGATTCTAGTATAGTGCAAATTTGTTTACTGGACTAACTTTTCGGTACTTTTACTAATCCCAAGTGCTTTTGATTTTCTTCATTATAATTGATTACTTCTGAACCCGAAAAATGGTTTGAGAGATCTTTTGTATTTAGAGCACATATATGTGTTACGTACAACACAGCCCTTGCTGGTGCATGGAAATCGTTTACAAATGATTTGCGGAAAGTTGCTTGCATTCTAATGAACGACCCAAACAAAGAAAAATGTTCAAACATGGTATTTCTTTAAAAAGTTGAATGTTTTAAATTGTGTACTTCTGATCGTGAAATTTGCATCTTCCAGGCTTCAATATACGGTCTTGCAGCAACTATTCCGGATAAACAATTGGTCAGTGATGTGGCTTATTGTTATTTAGATGCTTGTTACGCTGCACCTCCAAAACTTTGATCTCACCATAGGAACGGATATGATTTTCTCTCATTTTCTGGTTATAATTCTCTTTCTTTTCCAATATTTTTGATTTGAAAATTTCACTTCTGTTCGTGAATACACATTTATCATTTTCTCACTATTTTCAATACTAATTTATAGTTGTTTTGTCAAGACGATCTGATTTTGTATTGTTCACTGCTTTAAAATCTTTGTACTGACAAAAACTGTGGGAAAGCAGAACAAAACATTTTTGTTGCTAATCGTAAATGCATTAAAAGAATTATTTGTGAGAACGAATCGCATGCTTCATTTATTGGTTTCCTTAATTTTCGAGCACACTATCACTGATGGTTGTTTTGAAGAATTGTAATGCATTTTAGTTTATTGGTACGAAGGTGAACAAGTTTAAAGATGATGGTTATTTATTTGAGAGATACTTTGCAATACAAGCGCTGATGAGAATGTAGGCTGGCTATAATGGGAAATTTGTATAGAACAAATTTTTGGTATTTTGTTGTATATGTAATCATATTTTTTTGCGCAAGAATAATTTGTTAGTATTTATTTGTTGTTTTGAACCTGCCTGATTCATTTGTCATTGTATATGAGACAGCATTACAATCGCGGTTACTGTTAGTCACCTATAGATGATATTTTATCTTAGTGTTTAATGCATTTCTGATTGTGAATAGTTTTAATAATCATACTATGTTCTACTGTAGAGAATCTAAAATTAATAAATAATGTTGTTTTCGTTAATTGCTAAAGAAAGATACACAAATGAAGTGACCTTGGAAATGATTATTCAGTTTTTGGAAATCTATAAATTCACTGCTTGAAACTAAAGATAGCTTTCACTAAGCAGTTACGTGAATCAAAAGTCAAATCATGTTATATGTTTGTTTTAGGTATAACTGCATCATATTGCTCAATGAGATGCATATTTGCTGTAAAAAATTGCGATTCATAATATGTTTTGGCTTTTTGACCTAAATTACACTCAATACAACTTAGTTAAATTGCATGGTTGATTCGTTATTTTGGTAATACAGAAACTTAAACCTAGTCACTGAAAAAAAGACAATAGATATATAATGAATGGTTCATAATGTCTTTGTACTTGTTCTACAAAATATGCTGCAGATAAATAACGATATTGCTCAAACTCAAGCAAAAAATTTAAAATAACGAATTTTGTTCTATATCAGTGAATAGTATTTGGGTTGAAGTGTGAATGAGAAGTTTTGTAATTTAGATTTCAATGACTTGGAAAACAGTTATTGTGAGACAAATTGCTTGTTTTAATCATCAATTATTAATTATAATACAATGTAGAGCAGATGGAATTTTTCCTTTGAAACTTTTAGCATGCGCAAAGTATAAACTAATCAAATAATAATTTTCATTGTCATGTGTGGAAATGGTTTGGTCTTCCTTGTAGTGGTCAAAGGAGTGTGGTGCCAGCAATTAATCTTCACTGGCCTAATGGCATGGTCTGAACGATTTGATTCAATTGGTCATACTAAAATGTTGCACAAATACGACATCCTTTTCTGTTTCCTTCCCCTTCCATTCCATTCCCTTCCATTTTCTATTCTTTTCTTTCAAAAATTTTTAATATTACTCTTTTGTCAACATTACATATGTTTACTTCTCAAACGCATTTCATTTTTTTACCTCATAACCTTTATACCTCATAAATTTCTAACTCCAATGAGTTAGACTTTTCAATTTGCTGCATGAAATTCTCATTGACACTATAATAAGATGAAATTATTATGTTTAAAAATTTCTGCCGTAATTTTTTCTAGCAGTCATCGACATTGAGCATCTACTAAAGTGCTGCAAATTTTAACTGTTATTTATTAAGGGAAATGATTCGGCTCTGAAATTTGCGTATTAGAGTTATCATTTTCAATGACTGTAATCCGACGATGTGGGAGTCAAAAGTCAAATAATCGAATTCATAGACATCACAGCGTTTTACAGCACAAATTGAAAAATGATCTGGTTGATTCTGATGGTGTGTAAACTTTTTTTGATCATGAAATGAGTCATATATATTAACTAATAATTACAATTTGCACAGGAAATCGTTTTTAAGTTAAGAAAGTATCAGAATATTACTGTTTTTTAAGGTGGGTTGTTAGCTGTTGAAACAAATGACGAAGAAACTCTGAAGTCTATAATTTCGAAAACAAAGCAGATACTGAGGAGTGAAGTTAAAGATATTTACCTGAAAGATTGGACATTATTAGAAATTGCTATCATGCTCGGCCATCGTCAGTGTGCCGAAATATTGTTGCAGAATGGAGCAGCTGTGAATGTCGAAGGTTTGTTACAACAAATCATTCACTTTTTTTTCGATTTGCTTTTTTCATTTCAGAAATCTGCTATCAGTCGAGAAAAACTTCAACCATACAGATTCTGTTCAAAAATTTAACCTTATCAACTTTAAGACTGTCCTATGGAACGCCGTTTGCAACAAATTCGGGAGCGTTCTCAACTTTTAGCTGATAAAATTCAATCACTGAGAGTTGCCACCATTCAATATAAGGTTATATAATAATAAATACATACATACATATCTAATATAATATGTAGTATGTGTAATATATATAAATTATTAGCTCTACTTCCTCATATTGTTTTTCCAACCAAATTAGAAGTTATATAATTATTTTTCAGTTCCAAAAAAATTTCATTGTCTTTTTTACCACCTAAAGATGTACAAACATGGTAGGCATTTGCAGGATAAATGGGAGGAATTGCTGTACTTGGAGAAACGTTTAGAACAATTAAGAATAATGAAAGCTGTTGTTCAAAATACCATTTTGTTGAAACCGTTGACTGATATCCAAGCAGTTGTTTCTGGTAGTGATCAAGTCACAGTTTATTGGCAAAATAATTGGCAACAGAATGTAGATCTTGTCGTCAATTATAAAGGTTTATTATTGTGCAGTTGCATAATTTAAATGCATGCTTCAACCATCACTTGTTAAGTATTTAAAACAATCATTAGGCAAACGTTTTTGCAAGGTTTCTGTGTAGAATACAAAAAAATCAAGAAAATTTTAAATAGTTTAGTTGAATGGAGTTTATGCGATGACTTCAGCAGTATTGAAGGAAGTTTGCAAGTAAATAATGTTACAAGAAATGAATTTGTGATTTCGACATTAAAACATGGTCTACGATATTCAGTTCGCGTCAGTGCTGCCACAATTCGAGGATATAGCTATCCAACCCGAACAACGCCTCCACTGCTTTTAGTTTCAAGTATATTACAAATCTTTATGATGCGTTGTAGTTTTCAAAAAAATAGCAAAGTTTTAAAGTGGAACAGGTGAAATGAATACAAAGCAATGATTTAAATTAAAACCCATTCTAAGCAAACAATGCAATGAATTCATCCAGTGTGTATCATTTTTATGTTGGGAAGATGTGCTGGATAGTATCAAGAAGAAATCTTGCTCAGATGATATTGCGCAACTTCTTATGGATGTTCAGAAATACCGTTCATCACCTATTTGGCAGACTTGTAAATGTTATAAGTTGTTTGAATTTATTTAAAAAAAGATCTGTTTCCTACATTTTTGAAGGTCCTTGAATTTCGTGTTTTCAATTATATGTGCTGAACATCATGCACTTCTTTTCTAAAACTCGGATGACAAAAGAACTTGCAGTATTTCCCAAGATAAACGAAACAGACAAAAAGAAAAAAGGAAGTAAAAGTAGTTTTTTCGCTGGTGCTTCACGCTTACCGAAAGTTGTACAAAGGTTTGTCAGTCAAAACTAAACTCTTGTTTACTCTGAGACAACTACAATTAAGTTATTATTTGATTCACATTTGAAACTAGAGATTTTTTCATTATAAATTCATCAGTAGAGTATTTTCGTTTATTTTTTTCATGGAAAAACATTTTTCAGTATTTGTGTAATCTCACGGAACGTTTATGGATTAACAGTTTGATCATACCTATAATTGATAATAATCAGTGCTTTTTAGCGGTATATATTTGGTTAGTATCATTTATTCAGAAATGAAAATTTGCACAATTGATGAATACCTGCCAATTTTTCTCATTGATCACAATAAATTTTGTATCAGCAAAGTAAGTTTGAATTTTTAATAATTTTGATGTTTATACAGTCTTATGTTTTATAATTGATTGAACTATTTGGAAACTGCAAATGTTGAGAATATTATTAAAATATTTCCTTTCTTTCCTTAGGAAGAGATGTATTGGGCCATGAAAATGTCTCTGGCTTGGAATGAAATGCAGATTTTTCGTAGAACAGGTAGTTCAGCTTCATCGAATTCCTATTTTCGCAACAAATTTATTGATGCTGCAATGGAAATGCATGCATTACTTGGAGTCAATGATATTGGCAGGTGAACTATCTTTTCCTTATAAAAATTCAAGTACGAAAAGTCTTTCTTCTAAATGAACATTTATCATGAACTGAAATAGCAGAAAAGTTATCTCTTTTCAGGGTTCATCACGAACCTATTGTTGATGAAGTGAATTCAGTCTCCTTCATCCTTACTATTCGTTTTGCTAATGGAATAGAAGTTTGTCAGGTCACTGATCTTTATGTTTTAATTCTATTTTAATTTTTAGAAAATTTCACTGTTCGTGCTTATTTTATCACACTTTTTTTTTTCGATATTTTGTGAAACAATAAAGTTTCAGTAAATATCTAGCAAATTTAAAAACTTTTTGCTCTATCTCTTCGACTTTCCTAGTGCATGAAATTGCAATGAATGTCTAAAAATAATCGATGACGATGAGAATCAAAAAAGTTTCAGAGTTTAGCAACAAAATGGTTGCCATTGCATAAGGTAGCTCGCAAACGTGGAGGAATTTATCAAGCGATTGATATTTTGTGGGACGAGATTTCTAGGATTTTAAGTTTTTTCGAATCTTCGTACTTATCGCTTCAAAAAGGACTATATATGTTCTATATGAAACTCCACTCATCTTTGAATTCTGTAAATGTTTTAGTGCGTCAGAAGATGCCGTCAGTACTTCCATACACCTTAATAAGGTTATTTTTATTTACATTAAGACTTAATGTCAGAAGGCATATAGTTCTATTTTGGCTGTTATCATTTTCGAGCTTCACGTTCGAAATATTTTAAAACTTCAGGACATGTGTTCTAGTTTCCATTTCTAATTTTATTTCTTTTTTTTTAAAATCGCTTCTGTTTAAATCAATTTTTATATCACCAAGTGTGCTTAGTGAAAATTCATTCGTAAGCATTCAGTTCATTTAATTGCACAATTGTGATGAATACCAAAAAACTCCAAAAATTTAATGAACTCGATTTATCTTCAGAATTTCAAAGAGTACAAGAAAGTGACTTGAGCATTTCTTGACCGGTAGAACAAATACTTGATCTGATTCGTAAAAACAAATAACATTCTTTTTCAGTCAAAGTTGCTTACACTCTGCATAATTTTTAATTATGACGATTTTTTTAAAGTTTCAGCACTTCACGTAAAAAACATTAAGCCTGGAAAACCTTGCTACTTTTATAGTGTTTGCTCTATCAAATTTTTAAAATTAAATTCGACTTTAGTAAAAGTCTATACCAAGTTAGACGATAACCACTGCATTGCTTGTTTTCGAAAAAACGTGAAAATTGAGTGTGCATTGGACCGAATATGTTATTGTTGTGACAAACTTGCTTTTTAAAGAGAAAATCCACATATAACGAAGGAAGAATGGGACTGGTTACGATTGTTGGAAATAAATGCTTTCATCCTGCCAACGCCTATACAGTTTAGATTTCATAAAGCGCTACTTAAAGCAGCGAATCGCTTACTTCAAGATCTCGAAGTTGACGTAGATCTTATTCCAGATCAACGGCTATATCGTTTACAAGTGTTTACTCTACGATTTGGTGTTTCCTTCATCATTTTAAGTGATTACTGTCTTTCTCTGAGTAAGCGAAAACAGTCTGACTTATTAGCTTTTAAATTCAAAACTTTAAAGAAATATGTAGATGTAGGACTTCTTCCGAAGAACAGTGATTATTCGATGTAGTAATAGCATTGTAATTGGAAAACGTATAAACACGCACTTCATAGATTTCCTTATACACAATCCGAATCTTTCGAAACTCATACTGGAGAATTACGTGAATTGCTAAGGAAAACCAAATATTGGAATTAGGCTCAAGTATATATTTGTCACTTTTACAGTTATTTCCCAAAGTTGAAGATGTATGTACTGCACCAAGAAGCTCGTCAATCAAACTCTTACCTATAGAAAAAGGTTGCATCCCACTTCCGCTACAAGTGTTTGAGATAAGTAAGTTCATCAACTTTACATTTATTCCTAATCTTACATCTCTCTTGCTTGTTCAGAAATCAAAGCTGATGTACATGGCAATAGAACATAAATTACAAATTCTGAACACCATTTTATGATGGTTTTTTTAACGTTCTCTCTGTTGTGAGAGGATGTTTGGAAATTTAACAAGAGTATGGGTAATTCTATCCAAAATATAGTGCAGACTGATTCTTCTCAAATTATTTTTAAGCCTGCGTTATCCATAGAAACTGATATAGTGTTTCAGTTCATTATTGTACTTATGATGCGAGTTTCATTAGCAATTGTTGTCGTCTCTCCCTCTTTATCGAACATTTTTCAACGGTATGTATGCGTTACAAACAAATTTTGAGAGCCTTATATTTTAAGGTATTAAAAGAACTCATTTCAAAAGACCTTATTTCAGTTAGTTCAGTACGAACAACGGAGCAGCCTGCTTGAAAAAGACATTGTTGTTTATGCTGGTGTGCTAACAAAACTCGATGAGTTCCAACAAAGGTCTGCTACTATCATGCAATTTTTATTCTCCACAACTGTTTTCAAGAGTTCCGTGTCTGGAAATTCTATCACTAATCTCAAGTATGCAATTTTAGACTAGAAACCATATGCAAATCAATGAGATGGATTGGTGATATTGTTTCTATCGCGCGTGACGAGCAAGCTAAATGCGCTATATCACTAGCACACTTATTATTCGTTTGTAATATTATTGAAAACAAGGATTGCAATGAAGAATGTAGAAAGAATGTGAGGAGATACGTGCTTCTGACGTGCATTTTCCATACAATTCAAAATAGAATTACCACTATGAATGTATATAGAACTCCCGATTACAGGACACAATGACTCAAACTGGAATCTTGCGTCCTCGCCTGGAGTCAAAATCCGACACTCCACCAACCAATATATTCCCACAACTATGGCTCGACAATCGTCCTGTATCACTGAAATCTTCACCTAAAACAAAGGTTATCAAAGTCAACATTGCATATCAATCAGGTCCTACATGTGGCTCCTCGGTACGGGTACAGGTGGCTCCAACAACTACAGCAAGCGAAGTCGTTGCTCTGGTCATTAGACAGCTACCAGTCACAGCCAGGACATCCGAAGAGACTTCTGATTCTGAAGATTTTTGTCTGTCATCAGTGGTAGGCTGCAGAGAACGTAGATTACGAGACGACTTCCCACTCATCCAATTACAAAAACCGTGGTCAGATGGCCGTCTGTTCGTAAGACGCCAGGATAGCATACTGGCAGCTTTACAACAAGGTAATGAAGCAACAATTTAAGATAAGACTGATATATCACTGCATGTTATGACACGGCCATCATGAAATATTCGTGAATTAGATTTATGTGCTGTATATACACCATAAACTTGCTAACTGCACAGTGTTTATATATGTTTAGTTCAAGAAAAACATTGTTAGGAGAATTAAATATATAAACAGTTCAAATACGAAACTCCAAGGATGTACAGAGAAACGAAGAAAACAGATTGAAAGTTATTTCAAAACTGAACTGGCACAACTAGAATAATCTTAAATGATGTATAAAAACGATGATGAAAAAAGCTTTGAATGAAGAAAAAGACGCCATTACAATAAAATTGCAGCAAGATATTTAAGTTGACGGTAAAGCTATAATACAAACATGATGTCTAACAATAAGAAGTATCCATTAATATCACCATACTGAAATACAACTTATGAAATTAACTCCTTCAATGTAAACAAGATTAAGTACGACTATTAATTATGGAACACATCTAAAAAAATTTCAAAGCGGACCAGTAAGATATTACGAATAATTATAATTACAAGAAACCGCAAAAATGTAACATCAGTCTTAAGTCATATGATGGCAACAGCTCACATAAGACAAATATCTAAAATTGCTGGCCACTTAACCGAACAATTAAGTTATTTGAATACCTAAAAAACCAACTAAGCAAATGAGGAATCGGAGAGTGCCCCCTCATCTTTGAATGACAAAAATATTTAGCATCAAGAATCATTCTTTCAAATTTTCCAGCGAAATAAATTCTAAAAATTGCGAAACAAATAACGATCACTGATGTGAAACTCGCAACTGCTCGCAATCAACTGCCGCTCATGTCATTAATTTGACATATGAATTATAATTTGATACGTCTCTCTTGAGAATTTCACGCACTGGTCCCATCACACGCTCAAATCGGGCTCGATCCAATTTCACACATTTTAAAGGTGTTTTAGCAATTACTGTTGCAGCTCGAGGTCGGTCCAAGAGCAAAGCTATTTCTCCTAAAAAATTTATTGACGAATTTCGTCATAACTGAAATGGTTAATTAGAACCGAAGTACTGGACTTAACACCAAGTTATAGTCAGGAAAAAAATGGGTAAGCATATTTTGAGGATGTATACCAAAATAATCTGATGAGGACAAATGCCCGACGATTTCGAAAGGTGCATCGTCACTTCGTTTTTGTAATACATCTGCTTGTCCTTCAACAATAATAAAGAACTCATCGCCAGGATGTCCCTGAATGAAGAAATAAGTAAAAAAGAAGCATTAGTTCGGAATGTACATAGCTATACTGATTGAGTTTGACTGTAACATGGAGTTTATCTTAGGATAAAACGAAAAGCGAAAGACAAATGCCTGAGGAAGTAATTAGTCCAAAAAATAAATATAAATAGAGGAAGCATTTATTCTGGTATATATGTAAGAATAAAACTAATTAATTTGATAAAGAAACTGATTCTGATGCGATGTAAATATGCAACATGCAGAAATCTAGTCTAAAAACAAATATTTAGAAAAATGCGGAATTATAAACTGCGCATATCAAGCTTAGTGAACTGATTTCAAACGCATATACCTGCTCAACTACATGGGTCCCTGGTTCAAAATCGCAGCGTTCTAAAGCATCGGCGACATTGGCTCTTTCCCACTTATCAAGGTCAGCTAAATATCAAGTTATTAAATGCTTTTGCTTAAAGCTTTGTTCAAAATATCTTCAACTGAATTAAAAACACGAGCAACACGTAAGGTAGCACAACCACAAAAATGAATTAGACGTTTACATATTAAGTAGTTATGTAAAAAATTAATGTGAGCTTAAAATTTCCAAAGAATGGAAGCCAAACCATAATTCATAATCTCAACTATAACAAAAATAAAAAAAGTCATGGTTAGTTTGCTACAAACCAGCTTCATTTACGCAAAAGATAATGAAAACCAATAAAAAACTTACAAAGAATTTGAACTTTAGACAAAAATTCATCATAGAGCTTTCTTTTCCGCATTGTTGATCCCATCAAAATTTGCCGATAAGTGATACGGTCAATAGCCCAACATTTCACGACATCTGATTTCGCAATCACTGTTGCAGCACGCGGTGTGCCATATATAAGAGCAAGCTCACCGAAACTACCACCATCTTTGATAGATAATACATATTCACCACTCACAAAAACGTCAACCTAAAGAAGTAACATGGTAAGATTTGAAAAATAATGTCTATCTCCCATATTCACTAATCCCTTAATTTCAGGAAGTAAAAGAGTGAGACTATATTAAGCTAAAACGATAATCTACAAAAAAATCAGAACGATAAAGTTCGGTAAATCACGATCATTCCTCCACTTCATGAAACAGCATTAGTGTTTACGATTAGCGAATCGAATTCTTTCACATTTTAATCCCGCAAAATGAAGGAAAAACATACATCACCGGAATCGATCACGTAAAAATTATCTCCTTCTTCTCCTTGCTCAATAATAGTTTCTCCTTTCTTCTTTTCAACGGGGAACATGGCATCAAATATGGCCTTTTGTTCATCTCCCTAGAATAAATAACTACAGTAATAAGTTGGTTCCTTAAACGTTAGATGAAAGACATCTAAAAATGTTCTACTAAAACTTAACACCAAGATATTAATATTCCATGACAGAAACAAAATTCATCTAAATAATTACCAAAGCTAATCACAGCCGTATGCTTTTGCAAAATAAGAAATTCCTCTAAATTTTATTGAAGCAAAATGAAGGAATAGATTGTAGCATACTTCGAGATGTGAGAACAAAATGTTCTTGCACATTGCTGCTTCAAGAGCCCTTCGAGTTTCTTCATCCTTAGGTATCACAACCTTGTCATAATTCGCGGCTTCATTTTCATCGGGTACCTGAATAATAAACCAAATAAAAGTGAGATTTTTGACAAATTTTAGCAAAATTTCTCTCAATAATTTGCAAAAAATAGCAGTAAGTAAAAACACAAAAACCAAAGAAACAAACATACTTCGGCACTCACTGCAAGACGTCGTCTGTTCCCTTGCTGTATTTTTGGAGGTTCATCAATAGTATCATCATCATCTGCCGCGTCTGTTCGTGGACTAGATGTCTAAATGTAGTAGCGGTAAAAATTTGTGAAAATAAAGACTAGAACAACCAATTAGGTAGATAAAGGTACACTAATAATTTGTTAGCAATGAAACAATTACCAGCTTTACAAACATGATTTACTTGATGAGCTCTATATTTCTTATTAGGAACCACTGAACGTTTTTTTATAACCCTGTATTAATTAGCAGAATTGACAAGAAAATAAATGACAAATACCACAATAATGCTCTTATCATGGCAATGACTCTTGCTCGTACTAGTGGTAACAGTAGCAGCAGTATCTGGAACACTTAAATTAGTAGTAACCACAGTGGAAGTTACAGTAGTAGTAGTATTAGGAGAAGTAGCAGTAGCGAGGCGAGAGATACCCATGCCCAAATTGCGATGCTTTTTCACACTCAAATGCTGACCCATTTTCCAAAATAAACATATGTTTGGAAGCTTCTTGGAACCTAAAACGGGCGACTACAAGTACAGACACCTCTGACCGATTCGCGTTCACGACACTTTTGCAGTTGTGTACTAGTGTGCATACATTTCTATTTGTATTTATATGTGCATGCGTGCATGCTGCGTGCGTGCCTTCGTACACTTACACCCATAATGGTAATGAAAGCGGAAGCAAAACAGCGCACTGACGAAGTGCTAGAAGAAAGCAAAACCGCTGTCATGTTGTTATATACATAACTAAGCAAGACAAATATGTTACGTGCAAAATAAATAGATATTTACGTGTAAACATATACGTACACATATGTAGATATACCATCGAATATACATGTATGTACATGCGCTCGTATGAGTATGTATAGCGAGCAGCGAGTAATGCAGTAGAACTTCTTTGCTTCTCTCATAGTAAGATCTCTTTCTGCTTCAGTGTTGTTTTCGAAATACGCAAATCGCTAACCTCTTCCCGTTGATTAACACTGTAGCTTCTCACTTTTCCTGTTCGACAACTTTACTTTCAACATTAACTTGCCTTTCAACCTGAAGGAAAGTAAGCATCAACAAGCGAGCGGAGAGCCAGTAGTCAGCCAAACTAATGCAAACTATAGAATAAGCAACTTGAAGGAGGAAAGTATGGCAGGATTATGATGCACTTCAGTGGTAAAAATGAATTAAGGGTAAGAATAGTAGTGGGGTGGAGTAGAGTAGAATAGAGTGGAGTAGGGTAGAGTAGAGTGGAGTAGGGTAGAGTAAAATGAATAGAGCGAAGTAGCTGCAGCAATCAGTTTGCTGTCTAGCAAAGGAAGCAAAACAAATTTTATTGATAAGTACTATCTTTCCCTGCCACCCATGATTTGCCATACGACTACTATGCGATTCATGTAGAACATCATTCTTTATGGTACCAGCAAGAAGCTTTACAAATATGGTGTAATGCAACGTAAAGTTATCAAACAAAGTTAAAAACAAGCAATTGTTGGCCAGTAATAGCCAACGAACGAAATGTAACAATGACCATAAATAATCATCCTTACAGGGCTCATTGAGAGAGAGCATTTTCGATGCCCGTGCATCCATATATTTTACTCTCATTGATAATATTTCGTTTTGCTGCTTTCTGACACATATTATCATTAACTTCGCATAGATAGCCCACAATATTTGATGTCATGAATAATTACTTTGACTTCACGACAACGCAATACAGTAAGAAAGAAATACCTGAGATCTTTGGTCATACAGTTTCTCGAAATGTTCTTTAAGAAACAAGATTGGATTGTCAGGTTTGTTTATACACAATCTAACAATTGCCTCTTTGACTAACTGTTGGATGTTATGTCGTTGAACGTAAGCCTGACACTGAGCTAGCTGCGCCTCCTCACTGCCACCTCCAGATGCCATATCCAAACCACACTAAAAATTAGTGTTCAAATCATCGACTTTATTCGATCAGAATTCGTAAACGTGTCATTACCAGCAACTCATACACAACAACAGCGATCAAATATCAAGCAGAAAGCGTAAGATGCTATTCTTTCTCCACACAAACCTCCATCATTCTTGATAGTAGGCATTTCACTTCATATTATATGCACACACTTAGCTCATTCCTAGTATTAGAATAGTCCCTATAAACTGCTCAATGAAGTGATGATTGAAGCACTCGAAAACAATTGAGAAAGCAATAAATGTCAAACCCCTCTGCATTCATTAGATAACAATATTGGTAGATGGATACTGAGAAAACCACAGAAAAAAAAAGTGAATATTTATATAAACTGAAATTCCGTGTTTACATGTTGTTATCAGTATTATGTTATTAATATAGAGTAGATATAAAATACAAGAGGAAAGTCCAATAATCTCGAAAAACAATTCTAACAAGATTCAATATATCTTTAAAGTAAAAGAATAAAATAGACAATTGATTAATGTGGACCAGCTGACATAAGAATAATCGATAATAAGCGGAAAACTAATGAAGGAAAAGTTCTCACCGTTGCTGCATCATTTCACACTTCTAAAGAGTTAATCGAGAATCGCCACGAGGGATCTACAATATCTTAATGTGTATCTTCCAGCTTCAGCATCACATTCCATAAACTAAATATTGATGACTGGAAAGCTTGAAAAATTCATACCTCACAAAAGGTTATCACTATTCACCACTCTATTTACGAATTCAAACTCTTGGGACTTTCTTTTGTCATACACGACCAGAAAATACTCAATCCTATGTGCAGAGATGAATCACATTATTCTCGCACTACCAAATATTTAACAGCCCATGAATACTACTAGTTTAAACTTGACAGCAACTAAATACTACATTTTTTCAATTCATATTTATTATTCAAAATCAATGTCCTGTTCAGCGAAACAAAAGACCCTCTCTTCAACAAAAACGTAAAAATGAGGTTTATTCTCATGTGCCGAAGTATTTCTACACCATAAGACATACGAAACTAAAATTCGTTGCAGTCAACCATTCAGTTCTCACTACACGCACAGAACATTCAAATCATTTCCACTTCACTTTTGACAAAGTTTTCTTGCACTTTCAATCACTCTGTAAAAGGAGGCTGCACATAAAAATGTGTAATCTCTTCCACAATCTCAAAACCTGCTCTAAATGCAGTTATGGCGTGAACATCAAAAAGTATTCGAGAATTTCGTACCTTACGATTGTTACATGAAAAGAGAGTTCATATAAATCTTGAAAATTTGTAGCGCAAAAAACTGCTCGTATAAAGACTACCATTTAACAACATTGAAATCGATAGCTCGACAACAAGCAAAAAAGCGAGCTGACGAGAGCCATTATCAAACAACAGGTGCATGATGTATACAAAGGAAAACAGATGTACTAAAAGAAACTGTGAATTTACGACCATTATACTGATCTTGAAACCACATTATCCTTACCAAGCAAATGCCGAAGTATCTAGAAAAAACACATATATTGTAAGTTTAAATTTAATGCAGCCAGATACGTACTCGACTTTTATGAGAAAATGTTTTGTAATAAAGAACGAAAACACGAAATGAACTGATATACAACTATTTTTTTCTTTCAGGCTTCTTGTAGGGTAATAATGTGATATAGTGAGATTAATAATTTCAAGTATGCCATAGGCATTGCAAAAATTTCAATCACTGAATATTGCATTTGACGTTCAGAATCTTTCTATTGTTAAGCGTTAATAATATCAATAATAAACATGTCGAAAAATTTATATATTAAGGAGTACAGAGTTTAAAAGTTTTTTTTGAAAAATAACAGAAGAATAACCTATGAACAAGGGCAATGTAGCAAATGAAGTAATTCGAAAATACACTGAACATCAGCTCTCAAACACTCTTTTCAACACATCGCTAAATAAAGAACAGTGTCATATTAATTGAAACCATGTAACTACTTTTGTTGATTGATCATATTTTACATTCAAAGCATCACTAACCTTTCTTTCTCAGAAGAAATGCCATATTATACATACAAAAGTCTCTGCATTATTTTATGTAGATCATGCTCTACCCTACATTCTCAAGCAAGGATATGCATAAAAATGTTGAGAGTACATTATTACACTCAACATAGAAGTGAAAAGACTGTACAATGAAGACAGTATTAATAAAAAACCAGAATATTATGTCAATAGGGTTTAGTAAGTCAAATGCGATGTGATCAAATAAACAAAATCAAACAACAAATCAAACTCTTAGACAACAAATCAGCACTAGAGTTAGACATAAACAGAAGTGTAGACCAGTATATGCAAAATTTTACGATTTTTAAGTTATCTTCTTAGTCTCTGATCACTGCTTGGAAGACAAAGAAACCAGAGCGAAATCAGATATTACAATGCCATATACTAGCGCAAAAAAAGTACGATCACGGCAAATAGGTATTCAGGTTTCAAAATACTGTTCATGTTTCTCGTACCTCTTCAGCATTTCTGAGCAATCACCACACAAGCTATTTTTACATTAATGTGAATCATCTAATGACCAGAAGATTAACACAGAGCAGTAATAATAAACTGTAAATTCCATACCAGTTAATAAAGATAGATTAAGAGAATCAAAAAATGAGACTCCTTAATTTATCAATCCAAAGTCGAAACACACAAATAGTTTACGGGAAGTAATTTTAGTTAAATTTCCTTCCTCTCATTACGCCATCAACAAATGGAAATGTGTACAATGTAGGCACACTATAATGTCGAAACATCACCTTACAAACCCACAAGTAGATGATGCAACAGCAAATGACTGATATATTATTTTATAAATGCACAAAGTTTCCGACATAAAAGGAATGAAAAAGCTATAGAAAGAAAAGCGGAAGTAAAAACGACAGGATCACCTGAAAATTAGTCACAATTGAAGCTTGCAAAGCTAGCGTTAAGAGAGGAAAAAACGGGGAATGATCAATAAGTTTATCAACGAAATCAAGCAAGAAAAAAAATTTGCACACCTGTAGATGGATGGATGAATGAGATGAGTGATAAGCTTAGACTTAACCCAGAACTACTAAAAAGGAAAAGGAAATGCTCAGCGTAAGTTTAACTGCAAAAAAAAAGACACACACACGTTCACAAACCTTGCCCTGCAGTATACATGCCAGCCGCGCTTACTGGTACGCTCAGACAGCTATACCTTGTCTGTCTGCCACTTTCTACTGCTATAGGGCCACCTACAAACATACATGCAATCAACATTGGCTGCAACCGTTTTTCTTGCTCATCTTTTTCGCTTCCATTGTAGGCCTGCACCCATACAAGTATTAGTTTGACGTGATGTTTGTAATTAATGGACGAATACGGTACGTTAGCAAACAGGCAACGAC